AATTTATCCTCCTTTTCATACTATTGACTAAACTAAGGCAGAGGTTTTGATTGATATTGAACCATTCACTCTTAATAATTTTCATAAAAATCCTTTGCATAACTAATTTTTTTTCACTAATTTATTTATTGACCTTTTTTTCTACCCTTTTCTTGATAATTACCTACAAATTTTCTATTAAATTCAGATCTGAGAAATATGATAGCTAATTGAGAACCGTAAGATATTGATTTTTAAGAAGAGACACTGTAAGCTTAGCTTTATGCTTCAGATCATTATCCTGTTAAAATATTCAGGACTCTCCAAGAAGCTGATATGCTTGATCAAAAAGATTATTTGTTAAAATTTTATGGTATAACTCTCTATTCATATTTTTAATAAACATATGAAATCCAATGATTCCTTACAAATAAAAAGCTTTCTAAACATAAACTTTGAATTGGTGTTTAACAACTTCACAAGTTGGTTTTTCTTTACCTTTGTTATAATGAACAAGATGGTATTACAGAATATTTGAAAGGTTGTTTCATCAGAAAAAACTATATTTTCCTAATTTTTATTTTTATGAACTTCTGCCCAAGAAACTCGTCTCTCTTTTGCAATTAAAATGAGAAATAGAATTTTTTAGAAACACAAACTTGGTAACTAAGCTTATAAAGGTTCTCACAGACTGTGTGAGTGATTATATTAAGACTTGAGTAAATATTATTAAGAGTGTTTGCAATTTCAAAACTTGTTGTACTAGCACACGAATGAGCAAGCTGATCAAAATAACGCTACTTTTTAAACTTAAACCTTTGAGCATTCTGGATAACATAATTATTTTAATTTTTGGTTTTTTTTAATTGAGATGACCACTGATATAGTGTTCTTAGTAGAAACTTGGTAATTTTGTGTAGTTTATTTACATTTTGTGTTCTATTATTCTACAATGATTTAACTACTTCACATCATTCTTTAATAGAAATTTTTTGTAGCATTATTACATCATATCAGTTATGAGACATTCTTGTGTTCAGTTTTTTATGTATGTTTATTAGTGTAATATAGTAAATAACCAAACAAAAAATTGGTTTATATTGTCCAATCAGGTATGATATAAATTATTATTTTAATCATATGATCATGACTGCTATTTTTTTCTGCAGCCATTATAAAAGTTACAAGAAAATAATTCAGATTTAAACTATCAAGTACCTTTAAGAAGAAATGGTAGAGAATATATAGTGTCTATATAGCAAAGTTTACTATGTAAAATTATATATAACTTAAGCATTCAAGTACAAAAGAAGTAAAATGATATCATCATCTTACATAATCAGTTTGACTTTTGTTAAAAGAAATAAGATAGACAATCACCTTAATAAATATTATTGTTTAGCTTTTGTTAAAGATATTAAATCATTCTTGTTAACTTTTCTTAATGAAGTTGCATTAATTTTTTAGGATAATAAAATCAAGATATTTATTTATAACTATTTTTTCAATATTAAGTTTTCAATTTTCAGCTTTTAAGTTTTATAAGTTCCTCTTGGTTTAGTTGCAGTTGAAAGAATATTTAAAACTATAAATAATAAACAAGTTGGTAATAGTTTCTAACCATAATTTTTTAAAGGTTGCAAAATATAAACTAATACTGTCAATTTATCTAATGATAAATCCTTTTAATATGAATAATTTATTACATTCTGTAAAATGAGAATTTTTATTTATCTAGAATATTTTTAAGTATATTTTTAAGTATATTATATAAGACATACATAGTAGATCTTATAAAAAAAATTCTATAATAAATTTACATATTACAAAGACTTTGTAAAACTATTTTAGTATTTGTTGACAGATAGTAGATTAGATGAAAATCTTTAGTTTATTATAAATATTTCAAATTATTTATTACTTTTAAAAACTTAACTTAGACTACTTTATTAGAAGTATCAGTAAAAAGTTATCATTATGAATAAGGATATTAGATATTATAATTTTAAATATATGAGCAAACATTTTTGTGAGCTTTAAAGCTGTAACAATATCAATAATTATCTAGTTTTTATCACATATGTTGAAAGAGTATAACTAATCAAATTTTTTATATATACACAAAAAATCCTAAGATTAGATTGATACTTATAATCAATTCTGTAAATACTCCTTTGATTTAAAAAAATAAAAGGATTAGAACTATTATAAACTATCATATGCGCTTAAAATTTATGAACTTTTATCTAATACTAATGGTTTTTTACCTTCTATTATATAAGAGTTTGATGGGTTTTTTTAAATCTAGTTTATATTTTAAAATATTTTAATGAAAAATTACCAGGTTATAATAAACATTATCTTAGTATTACTTCAGATTTATATAACAATTTTGTATGCTAAAAATACTATAAATATTTTTTATCAAAAACATTTTTAAAGTAGCATATTAAAGCATTCCATTTAAAATAGAAAGTGACAAATGTAAGAATTGAAGAATTTAAACTGCAACAAGATCAATTTGATATAAAATATACAAAAGAATTCATATAACTGAAAATTCAAATTATATAAATGATAATTCATAAGATCAATTATTTTAACAAGAAAAAATTGCAAAGAAGGATAAAGGAAAAGAAAGGTCATAAAACTGAAATGAAAAACCATGGTAACAGGATCATTATCTCACTTTTAAAATTTAATAAAATTTTTTTTTTCTCACACTAAAATTTTAATTATTTTAATTTAAACTTTTATAATATTTTACTAAAACTCTAATTAATTTTAGACATACTATTTTAAATTTAATAAATTTAATCATTTTATTAAACTATTTTATCATTTTTTAACACTATAATATAGTAACATTATAATAAAATACAATAAAGAATAATGTAAGAATCGGGATTTATAATCGTGATCACGTGATAACTTGATTTCCTTAAATGGAAATGATGACGGAGGGGGAGGGGAAATTTCAAATGACAATCCAACTGTAAACGGGATAATGAACGGGACAATAAATAATGTAAATGGGACTATGACTGGTGATGCATTTAATACAGTTAATACAGTACTTGTGCCAAAGAGGAAACAATCGGGAAGAGGTAAAGATGCGTATCTTTAACTAAAACTATTAATTTGCGCTAGTTCTTAACGAATTACAATTTATCCCTTAGACCAATGACAAAATTTCCAAAAGAACAAAAATTAACGATTTTTTTTCTGCACATGCTTCCATTCCTCAACATGAACAAGAAAATCAGGCTGTTGTGTTTTAATGAAGACCCCAATGAACCAGTGTTGTCAAATGATATTGAAATGACATCGAAATGACATCAAATGACATCAAATGACATTAGTTTTACTATGAGAAATGACAAATGTCATTTAAAAAATAGGCAAATGACATTGCAATTTGCCAACACTGACAATGAACATTGTATTTCTATAGACTTTGAATGATAATCAATAATTTTCAGCAGAATTCGAAAATGAATCAAGGATCATCATCTGTTCCGTCTTCTAACGATCTTAATTTTGTTACATTTCTGATGAACCTAATTTACACACTATATTTACACATATAGATATTGACCCTGGATATTACGATGTTAAGAAACGAGCAAAGCTTTTTATTCATGGGAAGACGAAATTAATAAGATTGAATTCAAAGATACTTCTAAAAAGGATGCGAGTACACAATGTGATCAATGCTATGCTATTTTTTTTAGTAATAAAAACTATAATGATATATTAGTCTTATTTTTATATTTTTATATAAATCGAATTATATTAGGATTTAAAAAGGGTATTATTTTACAACACATCCCATAAAAGCTAATTACATCAAATCTTACTAATCTTTATTTTTCAATCCAATCGGAGCTGAAATAAATGATCGACAAATGTTCAAATCAATTGCCGCAGATGACCGGAAACTTGACCAAATTTAGACTGGATTATAAAACAGTCAAAAGTTACTATATTATAAATAAAACAATAAAACAATATACTGATTGTAATTCGTGAATGTAAGAATGCTCAATATAATTGCAATGAAGTATGAAGTAACACAAAAATTTTTCATTAATTCAAATTTTTATATTACCTAGCCTACTATATTCTGTAAAATATCACTCAAAATAATTTTTGACCTTCCATTTGAACAATGAATCAAATCCTAAAAATTCGGCGTAAATATGTTGGGGCTTGACAATGACTTAATGTTAACAATTTGCTCCATTTTGCCACTTTTCTATCTCCAGAATTTAAAATGAATCCCCAAAAGAATCCGTTTTTTTCTTCTTCCATAAAATATAGATGACATTAGTAAACTTTTACATCGTAGAAACGTATTGTATCTTCCTCCATTTTACTTCCTTTTGTGTTTGGAAGATTTTCTATCGCTAAAATTTTATTCGTAGAATCTGGTTTTGCCCAACTTGGAATTGAATTTTCGCGCGAACGTTTATTTACTAAAGAACATTTAGAATGTCTACAAAAATTCGATTTGTAAGCTATCTGGAATTAATCGACATTTTTTTTTTTGTATGTAATACATTGCCGGCAGGAAAGCACCCGAATTGATTATTAATATTCCAGAAAATTACACGAATTTAAAGTTCAGTTCTATAAGATGCCGAAGATTTAACCGATTGTAATGAAGCCTATTTGTGGAGATAAATAATAAGGAAAATTTATTTTACCGATTTACCATCTTGAGTAAAGATAAGACCAACACAAATATGTGTTTCCGGATCGTTATATATAATGTTTTGCCAGATCCTATGTCAATTTACCCTTTTGACTGTCATTTATTACATATTTATTACCCGAATTTGCTTAAATACGACGAATTTTTCCTTGATAAAAATGTTGAGAAGACAAGTTTTGAAAATCATTTTATTTTTAAGATATCTCATTTTAATTAAAGCAAAGTTTATCAAATTTTACGTAGAAGTTACTGCGCCCATCATATACTATTGATATTTCACAACTTTTTTTTTAAAAAAAACAAAATGACATTCTGGAAAAATAAACCACCACCATCACCAAAACCTAACACGTTAATTCCCGAAGCAAATGCAAATATATTTTCAAAAGTTATATTTTGGTGGGCCGGAAATATAATGAGGATTGGGTATAAACGTCCTTTGGAAAAAGATGATCTTTATGTTTTGAATGATCCAAAACTAGCTAAAAACGTAACTGATGAATTTGAAAAATCTTGGGAAAAGGAATGTTCACGCAGTGATGGGAAAAATCCTTCTTTATTAAAAGCTCTTAATCGTACTTTTGGTTTCAAGTTTTGGACTTCGGGTATTTATCGTTTTTTGAGTGATACCTTACAAGTCATTTCACCTTTGTTTGTTCAGGTATGATGATAATTTTGGTCATTTACTGCGGTATCCGTCACGTGAATTTTAGGTTATACTTATTGTCTTCATTAATTTTTCTTTTATAGCTATTATTGAAATTTGCTCAAGACTCTTGGAATAACAAAGATGATCGGGATGCTTCTCCTAATTCTTCTATCGGATTCTTATTTACTGTAATCATTTTCGTAATGCAAATAGGCTCAACACTTTTTAGCAATTTATATTTTTACAATGCCATGGAGGTAGGATTTCTGGTTAGATCTGCAATGATCACTGCAATTTATCGCAAGGCTATGTTATTAAGTGGAAAGGCACGTAATGCATTTACCGCGGGAAAAATAACGAATTTAATGTCAACCGACACTACGCGTCTTGATTATGTCTGCGGGTACTTCCACGTGATATGGGCTGCGCCAATCCAACTTTTTATAGCCCTTGGCTTATTGATTAGAAACCTTGGCCCTTCAGCCTTGGCAGGATTTGGATTGTTACTTATAATGAGCCCATTTCAAGGAAAAATTATGCGTATTTTGGGAAAGACGCGCTCAAAAGCTGCAAAAATTACTGATGAACGCGTAAAGCTTACTCAAGAAGTTTTACAAGGTATTCGAGTTATTAAATATTACGCATGGGAAGAAAGTTTTTTGGATACGTTGAATGAATTAAGGGATAAAGAAATGGGTTACGTTAGATTATTATTGAGTATGAGAGCTGGTGTCACTGGTGTTACTATGGTCATCCCGGTGTTTGCAAGTATATTAGCCTTTATAGTGTATTCGCTTACCGGAGGGGAACTTACTGCGGACGTTGTATTTTCTTCTTTGGCTTTGTTTAATATCATGAGATTACCTTTAATGTTTTTACCCGTGGTAATCGCTTCAGTTACCGATGCTTTGGTATCTGTAAAACGTATTCAAGAATTATTCGTGGCCGAACAATTAGATTATTTACCAAAAGTTAATCCAAATGGGGATCATGCCATTAAAGTAGATGATGGTGAATTCATCTGGGAAAGTGCTCCTCCTGAAAATTCACAAAATGATAATAAAGGCAAGAAAAAACATAAGAGATCAAAGAAATCATCTAAAAATGAGGAAAAAATTCATAAAGATAAAATAGAGAATGTAAATGGGGATAATGAGACGACAATTTTAACACCCATGGATTCTGCCGAACACATGGCAAATGTCAAAACGCTAACTCCATACTCACACCTTCGAAACGTTAATCTTTCAATACCTCGTGGTAAACTTGTTGCCGTTGTAGGATCAGTGGGTAGCGGTAAATCTTCTTTGCTGTCAGCGTTAGTTGGTGAAATGAAAAAAGTACACGGGGAAGTTGAATTTGGCGGGAATGTTGGATATTGTCCTCAAACTGCTTGGATTCAAAATGCAACTCTGAGAGATAACATTCTATTTGGTTTGCCTTTTAACGATGAAAGGTATCATAAGGTTATTAAAGATTGTTGCCTTGAACCGGATCTGGCCATGTTGCCTGATGGCGATTTGACTGAGATTGGAGAGAAAGGAATTAACCTGTCAGGAGGGTGAGTATCCTTTTTTTACATATATAAATATATATTTATCGTGTAAAAAATTAATATGTATCTATGTATTTGAAAAAAAAAAATTTTTTTTCAGTCAGAAGCAACGTATCAATATAGCTCGTGCAGTTTACTATGATGCAGATATCGTGTTGTTAGATGATCCTTTATCGGTATGTATAAAGGTTATTTTGATATTTCTTATAGTGGATGGATTTGAAATTAATAAATATATATTTTTTTCTTTAGGCTGTTGATTCACATGTTGGAAATCATCTTATTACACATTGCATTAAAGGCGCTCTTAAAGAAAAAACGCGTATCCTTGTCACTCATCATTTACATGTGTTACCTAATGTGGATTATGTTATTTGTATGGAGAATGGTAAAATAGCAGAGCAAGGTACTTATGAAGAATTAATGAGGGATGGAAAAGCATTTGCAAAATTGATTGAAGAATATGGCGAAGCTGAAGCAGAAGAAGAAATTGATGAAAAGTCAGATGAAAAAGAAATTGAAAAGGAAATAAGTACGGGTGTTGTTGCACCAGTAAAAGCTTTAATGACCACTGAAGAACGTGTAACTGGTTCGGTTGATAATTCGGTTTATTTTGCTTATGTGAGAGCTGCAGGAGGATATTCGTTATTACCTCTTCTTCTGTTTTTACTCATAATGACGCAAGTCACTAATATTGGGTATGTTCCTTATCTTTTCTTAAGTTATGGGTTAATGCTATGAAACTTAAAATTATGTGATATTAACATTTTCAAAAATAATTTATAGAAATAATTTATGGCTGTCTTTTTGGACAAGCCAAAAGTTTAATATGTCAACCGAAAAATATGTAATTATTTTGTATACTAAAATTTAACAATTTATCATTGAATTCTCATTTATTTTATTCTTTAATTATCAGATGGCAATTTATTTGGCATGGGGAGTTTCTCAGGGAATTTTCAGTTTGTTAAGTGGCCTAATTTTCTCATACGCTGGTTCTAGAGCTGCAAAAATTTTACATAGAAATTCTATTAAAAGAGTTTTACGAGCTCCAACTAAATTCTTTGATACAACACCTTTAGGAAGAATTATAAATCGGTAAGTTTGAAAGATATTTGTGTTTGTATTCCTGTTGAAAATGTTATCAATATGTTATTAATTGTTGAATTTGTATGATACAGGTTCAGTAAAGATATTGATACGTGCGACAATTTACTTTCTGACACGTATCGTATGTTCCTTAGCACTTTAGCGATTGTGCTTGGAACATTTATTTTAATTAGCATCGTATTCGTATACTTCCTTATTCCTTTGGTTCCGCTTTTAGCATTATATTATTTTGCTGCTCTCTATTATCGATCCACAAATCGTGAATTGAAACGTAAGTTTAACATAAATTAAAAAGAATTTTTTTTTAGTTTTTCTTATTAAAAACCAATTTGGGTTTTCTAGGTCTTGACTCCGTTTTGCGTTCATCTCTTTATGCACATTTCTCGGAATCATTAACGGGATTACCTACGATTCGAGCTTATCGTGAACAAGATCGATTTTTAAGGTTTGTTCTATCTTTAATGATATATATATATATAAATATATTTTGTAGATTTAGAATATAATTCATCCGAATAAATTTTTAATTGATAGAACGAACGAGCAATTTGTTGATATTGAAAATCGGGCATACTTCCTTACAATTGTTGTCCAACGTTGGTTGGGTCTTCGGCTCGAATCAATTGCAAGTGCATTAATATTCTTTACAAGTTTGTTTTCTGTTATTGGAAGATATAACGTAGACCCTTCGATTACTGGTTTAGTATTAAGTTATGCACTTCAAGTTACCGGTACTTTCAACTGGTGTGTCAGGCAATTTGCTGAAGTGGTAAGTCGATGTTTTACTTTATCTATTTAAAAAAAAAAAATTTCCGACTTCTTTTTTTAAAACGTTCCTTTATTATAAATATCAGGAAGCGAATATGAATGCTGTAGAACGTCTTGTATATTATTCAGATTCACTGGATGTTGAAGCAGAACCAATAATTTCTGATCATAGACCACCACCCGAATGGCCCGTTAAAGGAGAAGTACATGTTAAAGATTTGGTGATGTCTTATGGATCTGAACATCCACCCGTCTTAAAAGGAGTTACATTTGATATCGTCCCATCAGAAAAAGTTGGTATTGTTGGAAGAACTGGTATGTATTTGTGAACATTACGATATCCTGCTATTGATCTTATAAAGAGAAAATTCTAATTTTTTTTTTTTTTAAAAAAAAAATAAATAAATAAATAAATAAAAATAGGTTGTGGTAAATCAACATTGGCGACATCTTTCTTTCGATTTATTGAACCAACTTCAGGACAAATCGAATTGGATGGCATCGATATTACTTCCATCGGTCTTAAAGATCTTCGAAGTAAAATCACTATTATTCCGCAAGATCCCGTTTTGTTTAACGGCACGTTAAGGTAATTAATTAATTTATTTATTATATCTCGGAAGAGAATAAAAACATAAAAAAATATTAAACGATTTTATCTATTAAGGAGCAATTTGGATCCATTCAAAGAGCATGATGACGCAACATTATGGAATTCTCTTCGAAGAGCTCACTTAATTCAAGAAGATTCAGATAATGAGAATACGGATTCCACGTTAAATGGATCCTTAAATGAAAAATCACCCGTGAATAATGAATCGATACCACAACAAAGCAAACAAGAAACGTTGACACTTGATTCACCTGTCAATGAGAATGGAAGTAATTTTTCACAAGGTCAACAACAATTAATAGCATTAGCAAGAGCATTAGTACGACATTCTAAATTAATTATAATGGATGAAGCAACAGCCAGTGTAGATTTTAAGACTGATCATTTAATTCAAACTACAATAAGAGAAGAATTTAAAGATTCGACGGTATTAACCATCGCTCATCGGTTAAGAACCGTTGCTGATTATGATAAAATTTTAGTTATGGGTATGTGTTTTTTTTTAAGTTTTAATCTTATTATTCTGTGAATAAATGTTTTAATAAATATTGTTACTCCAATAGATGCTGGAAATATAATAGAATACGATATGCCATATATATTAATGCAAAAACCTGATGGGATGTTTAGGGGAATGTGTGAAAGAAGCGGCGAACTTAATGAATTATTGGAAGTTGCTAAAGAGAAATATGAAAAACAAAAAGAACGAAAAACGTGAAGATTTTAATTAAATAAAAATATATTTATATATATTGATATTTTAAAGACAAGCTTACCGGTGTCAACTTGATATCGTCTCTAGCAAATCTATAATTATAACGGTTTTATAATCCACGTGTTGTTGCCTTATTAATATCATGACAATTAGTTATACCTCTGTCTTTATGTAAGGAACACTATAATACCTATGCGAAGACACGAAGAAAGTTGAAAGTGTAAAATAGAACTTTGTTTCTTGTAATTTTTTATTATCTCAAGACTATTTCTATTACAAAACTCTATCAATGAGCTACAGGTCCTTTATACAAAAATTATATTCTAAATTTTACTACAAACATATTAATGTAATTAATGAATGATAATAATAAAAAGATATAAAAGATATAAATTAAATAAACTGCTACAGTTAACATACTATATTATATATAAATGATAATGAATATGAAAAGAAATTATGTCGATTATTTGATACAGTATTTCAATTTTAATCGCAAAAATGAAACTAATGAATTTCTTTATAGATGCTTACTAATTAATTAATTTATCTACTAAAATCACTTAATGTGTTTTATTTTTTAAAACCTTTGTAACAGCATTTTTAATAACAGAAGCTGCTTTTTCAATTTCTTTTTTAGTGAAACCAGCACTTATGCAAATTCTAATGCTTGGTTCAACCCCAAATAATTCTTGAGATCTGACATATTTAGCTCTGGTTAATAAAATTCCATTATTTATAGCCTATATTAAAAACAAAAAAATTTTAATCAAAAATAATTTTTAGCGTGAAGAAAAAAAGATGTTACTTGAGTCTTACTTCGTCAACAATGTCTTGCAAACATCTCTCTTTATCTTGTATATCACCAACTCTAACAATTTCTTCATTAATCCTAAGATGTATAACAGGAGAATCCTTGGAACAATTTAATAACAAATATTTAACATTTTTTAATATTTGTTTGAATAATATTGTATTTTGATTGATTGTTAATGGAAATTGCGGATTTCGTTTTAAGATATTTAATGATTCCGATGCTGATACTGTCAACATTGCTGGCAATGATGCTGAATAACAATATGCCAGTCCTGAAATTCTCTGTAAAACAAAGAGTATTAGTGAAGAATACAAAGAAAATAAAAGCTTAACTATATTTAAAATCATACCTGATGTTCAGTGATTTCGAATGATCCAGAACAAAAACCTCCTGACGAACATAATGCATTACACATTGATCCAACAATCATGTCAACGTCAGTTGGCTATAAAACAATAAAATTAATAAAGGAATTTTCCGGGGATCAGAATTTAAATACATAGAACTTTACATACATTAATGTCAAAATAATCAGTTAAACCAGCTCCACGCTTTCCCATTATACCAAATGATAAACTTTCATCAAGAATAAGTCGATATTTATATAGTTTTTTTAATTCAACCTAAAAATATATATATATATATTTTTTCAATTAATAAATTAATCTATGACAAACTAATTTCATAAGAAAATAGTTATATACCAGTTTAGGTAAAAGAGCAATATCACCATAATTCTCAAATATTCCTTCGGATATAATGAATCTTCTCGTCAACTTTCTTCCAGTCTAAAATAAAATTATTTGTTAAAATCAAATAATTCTCAACCAAATATAGATATATATAAGTATATTTAACCTCAATATCTTCATTTTTAATTTTTTGCAAAATTCTTTCTAAATCTTCCATATCATTATGTTTAAACCATTTAATAACAGATCTAGAAATTTGTACCCCTTTTTGAATAGCAAAATTACATCCTTCATCGCTACAAAATCGAAATAAAAAATTAATTATTTGATTATAAAAAATCTCTTTTTTCTAAGATTGTTATGACTTACATTACGAGAATATCACCTCTTTTACAAAATGATGGTATAGCCGAACTTATTGTAGAAAATCCTTGAGAATATATTATAGTATCCTCTGTTCCAAGAAATTCCGAAACTTTCTTTTCAAATTCCGTGTGTACATCTAAATAAATAAATATAGGAAGACTAGATTTTAGTAAATTTATTTGGGTGAAAGAAATTTTTTTGGTTTAGGGATAAAAAGCTTGAAGAAAAATTAGATGAAATTTAATTTAATCACCAAAAGTTCCATAAAATCCCGGCGGACCACAGGATCCAACGCCATACTTTTTAAGTGTCTCAATAGCCTTTTCCTACAATATATTAACTAATCTAATTAACAATTCAATTAAATTGGATCTTTTTTAAAAATAATTAATAATTACCTTGATAGTAACATTAGTTAATAATCCCAAAAAATCAAAACTTGAAAAGTTTATTAAAGATTTACCATTTATTAATTTTACTTTTAGCCCTTGAGGTCTAAATGAAAAAATTGATTATTAAAAATTCTACAATAATGTACCACGTGACACATGGTGGGAAATTTGATACAAACCCATTAATTACAGGAATTTTTTCTAATTCTCTTTTATCATCATCAGAAAGTTGTGGTACAAGAGGATCAGGTTGCCATTCATCAACTAGCTCTTCAACTTCCTAATTATATTCATGAATTTCTTTACGTATATATATAATAATATACTTAATTATTTAAAACATTCTATTATGTAAAGTACCTGAGGAGTTAATTCAATAAAATTATTATCAGTTCTATACTTATTAGTAAATAGATAAATTATAGCAAAAAATACTAATAATAATTCTAAGGCAGTTCGAAAAGGATCATCTTGGTGAGAATTTTTAATATATTTCAAAAGAATTGCTGATCCTGGTATGCGTGAATAATATATTGAAATTTGTGTTATGGTTGTATTCAAAAATACAAATAATTCATTTAATGCTGGGTATGCCGTTTCCATTGTCTCCATTGAAATTTTTTAAGAGAAACGAAATAAAAAATTTTTAACGTTAATGTCGTGTGGGCATTGTATTATTTATACATCATAGGAAAACTTTCTTCAATCGGGTAAAAATGTTGATCAGCATTTCTATAATGAGTTGTTTTTTATTGCCGATCATTGTAATACTTTTTTTTTTGGCAGAAATTTACTATAAAAATAAATTATAAAAATCGAAGATCTATTAGTATGGTTATACTATCAAAAAGTGAGGCATGCTGTAATTGCCAAAACCATTATTTTTACAAATTTAGTATAATTTTATCATGTTTGTTCATTGTCAAAGACTAAAACTAAAAATATTTAATAAAAAGCTTATATGAAAAAAATAATTCTTTATAGCCAAATCAAAATTTTCAAAAAAACGTCGTCAAATGTTACAATTAACAGCTTATCGTGAGAGGACAAAAAATATATAAATAATAGTATATAATTACAAAATGAGTTATTGATATTAGTTAAAAATAAAAAATAATATATTTTATCAATAATATTGAATATTTTTCTAAAAAAATACAAATAGAGCTCTTATTAAATTTAATAAATTAACTAATCTTACTTTTAATTTGGATTAGTAACGTTTAGAGTACCTGTATAAAAAATCATTAAATTGTGTATCATTATACAAATTTCCAAAAAAGTAATACGATTTCCTTTTGGAAGTTTATATAATATCACGTGATCTACTCCACTTATATCTTGGATTATTAGATTTATATGTTAATTCCGGCCAGAATTGCGTATTATAGGGTGTTTTTAAAATTCGTTATTCTACATACCTTTATTTTTAAGATAACCAGTAATCAGATTTTAACAATCTTAGATTCGTTAGAATCGTCTTGATAAGAGGAATCTAATAGTAGTAAAATCGCATTTTTAGAATTAATATTAAACAAATTATTGTAAAAAACGCATTTTATTATATATTGTCAACAGAAAAAATTACAATTCATATTATATAAGATTTGCTGATCAATAATAATCTCATATTAGATGATCTCTCAATTACACAAAATAGAAATCAATAATAATTTATGTTTTAACTGTTTCTTCTATTTCTTCTGTATTTTCTATATAGCCTGTTTATTCTATATATTCTATTTTACTTATAATTCTTTTAATATCTATAATTTATTTTACTTATTTTTATTATTCTAATATTTTAAGTATATTTTTATTAAATAATATATATATATTTAGTTAATTTATAGCGCAATAAATAGCAGAGATTCAGAAAAATTCTAATGTCAAATTATAAATTATTATTATAATAATAACAAAATTCTGATTTTATTTTTATAAAAATTTTTGTATTTATTTATTACTATTTTGATTATTAAATATATTATAATAAGATATTTAAGTAATTTTAAACTTAAATTTTATCTATCATCATCTAAAATTTTATTATATAAAAAACTCCTTTTTATCATATAAGAAAAGATTAGCAATTTTATATAATTATATACTATTTTTTTAAAAGAAAAAGTTATAATATAACTTTATCTCAAAATTCATTCAGTTTAGAAAATTTAATAAGATTATACTGATATTAATATAAATTAATTATTCATATTAATAGATTAACTAATTTTCTAATAATTTTATAAAAATAGATATCTTGATTAATAGTTATTAAAGATAAATATTATAGATTAAAAACTTGAACAGTTTTAAATAAAAAATACATAGAATATTATAATATATAATTTTCAAGTTTTATAGGTTACATGATACATTTATTGAAATACTAGATAAACTGATGATAAAGAAGAACTTAATCTTTGTAATATTGTATTTATAATTGGTCTAAATTATTTATAATTTTTTCTATAATTATTCATACTTTAAGTTATTATAATCTTTATTCAATAAAAACAAATATTAATTTATTTTCTTATTAGAAAAAATCAAAATCTACTACAAATTGCTATACATTTTCCTAAATAAATACTAAATAAATTTTTATTTATTCATTAGATTGTTGATTTATAAATGCAGAATTCATTTTTTCAATTGTTAAAATTACATTTTTTTTAATTATAAAATTTACAAATATAATTTAAATTTTAATATTATTATACAAGTCAATTGCGAAGTTTACTGACTGAAAAATAGATTTCAATATGTATAGCAATATTTTAAGTATCTAAAGGATAATAATTTATATTAACAATTCTAAAGTCTTGTTAGCGTCAATAGAATTATCAATGTAAATCACTACAATCAATGTATATGTTTATATAGGAGAGCAATAATGATGGATTGGGTTTTATGTTACGAGTTTAACTAATTAAAGTTATAAGATAAAAGGTTGGTTTATTAATTAGAGAAATTAGAATCAATACTATTCAATAATTTAAATAAGCTCTTATTCATGAACTTACAAAATTAAAGAATAAATAATAAACTAAACTATATCAAAACCATATTAGAAAAACTATCTAATAATTATTCTCAAGACTATCTAGCTTAACTTTATTAACTAAGTAATTATCTGACTTGTAATTTACTCAAGACTAATTTACTAACTTGTAATTGACTTATGATTGACTGACCAACTGAATCTGACTGAATAATGAAAATACATTAAATTCCTATCCTATTTATACAAAACTTTAGATCTAATTCTATTACTAAATTAAGATAAAGTACAACTTAATAAATTACAGAAACCTTGTAATCATTGTTAACTTAATTAATAAGTTTACTAAATAAATTACATTAACTATGTAAACATATTTAAATTCATTAACGATATTATCATCGGTTTCATCATTTTTTTTTTTATAATGTAGTATTGTCTTGAATTTATTATATTTATGTTATATTATTACAAATAAAAATAGAAAATAAAAAACTAGTTTAAAGTAAAAACAATAAAAAATAAATTAAGATTATCTCCTATGATTCTATTACAAACCTGTTTGGATTGACCAATCACCAGAATATCTTTCAGAAAAAACCAAAAAATTCATATCTAATGATTAATTCCTTAACAAGATATTCAAATAAAACTGTTAGTACCATCTAGAAAATCTGTCTAAGAGAAACCAAATTTGATTGCTAATAATATCCAATCTGATCATCTTGACGATATTTGTTTAGAGATTTTTGTAAGAATTGAACGTTTTACCTTGACTTTTTTCTTTTACAACCTTTTAGAAATTCCTAATTTTTTTTCTTCTTCAATCATTTTGTTACACCTGGAGACCTAGATATTATCATGAAAGGCAGTGGTAAAAAGTTTGAGATATTTATAAGAATGTTTCTGGCATTAGAAGGGAAGAATAGTTCCTTTAACAATGTTAACATATTGTTAGAGATTATTCCTTTAGCCAAATAAATGCAGGTAATGGGATAAAACGAAGGGTCTAAGTATTCTATTAGGTTCTCTTTCATAGTAAGGTAGAAGTTAAGTCTATTATTATTTCAACTGATTTTGTCAATAATGATCTTATAAAGAAATTCACAAATTGATATATAAATATCAATGATATTTTGTATTCTATTTAGGTAATTCCACAAATGATTGTAGTCTTTATTATATTGTTTGCAGAAAATACATAACTAGTTCTTATATAGATCAGGATGCCTAACTGAGAGTTTGTCCACTATAGGTAATTCTTCAATCAATAATTTTAATTTAAAACTCTTTCTTCTTCGTTGAATAAAAGATATAATGGCAGAATTATCACCTATATTTGAAGTGAAAACAGAAAAAGAAGTAGACTAATAAATGTCAGAAGAATAAGTATATTAAGCTAATGTGAAATTTCAGTTAAGATTTATAAAAGTTGAAAACTGCTTAGCTGCATTCATGTATTTTCAAAATTTTCTAATTGAAGATTCTATAGGAACTTAGTTAAATTTAACAAGAAGTTGTAAATCTTCGAAGGCTATATAATTAATAGTTAAAGGTGGCATAAAACATCTAGCTTTACTAAAGCATTAGCTATGTTGTTGAAGTGATCTCCTAAGTGACCTTTGACTTTTATTAATTTGACTGAGAGGTGCAATTTATTGATAATATATATAACTAATATCCAAATATTGTAATTAAGTATTTTTTCACAAGTCCTCATTGCACTAGTCGAAATCAAAAAATCAGACATGTGAAAATTGACCTAAAATCAATCTAAATTCAGCCTAAATTCAGCAAATTATCAAAAATCAGCCTAGCCGATTGGCATACATCAGAAATCAGCCAAAAATCAGCCAAAATTTGACTCATCTTATTTATAACTGATTGGTATACTTATAGCCGATTGGTATATATCAAAATTCGACCTATCTTATTTATAACCAATTGACTTCTGATTGAAACGATAGGGTATTATTGTTCTTTAAGAATGATGATATTATCGTACCTAAGGTACAATGGTTTTATCATTTCTAAGGAACGATGCATTTATCATACTTTAAGTATGACGATTTATTGTTCCTAAAATATGATAGTATTATCATTCCTTAGAAATAATAGTTTTATCATTTCTTAGAGACAATTGTTTTATCGTTCCTTAGAGTCGATTGTTTTACCGTTCCTAAGGAATGATGCATTTATCATACCTTAAGTACGATGATTTATCATTCCTAAGGTACAATGGTATTATTGTTCCTTAGAAACGATGATTTTATCATTCCTTAGGGACGATTATTTTATCATTCCTTAGGAATGATTGTTTATCGTTCCTTAAAGACGATGGTATTATCATATCTAAGAAATGATAGTATTATTGTACTTAAAGAACGATGATTTTATCATTTTTTAGGAACAATGGTTTTATCGTATTTAAAGAATGATGATTTTATTATTCTTTAAGAACGATTGTTTTATTATTCCTTAGGGACAATGGTATTATTGTACCTAAGGAATGATGGTTTTATTGTACCTAAAGAACGATGATTTTATCATTCCTTAGAAACAATGGTATTATCATACCTAAGAAATGATTGTTTTATTGTTCGTT